TTGTTGAGAGGTCCGACAAGCGCCAAATATTACCACCAATATCTTGACCAGTGTTGATAATCATTGACTTGCGTTGACTCGAGTGAGTGGGTTGAATTTGGTGAGATGTGTTAATTAGACTTGAAGTGTGTTGAATTGACGCCGGATTGTAATAATCCTTTATTAGTACAAAGGAGGAATAAAAAGGGGAATGAATATGAAGAATGAGGACTCAAGAATCTCTCCTAGCTTACAAAAATGAAGGGTTTATATGTGTTAAGAAATGGGGGTGGGTTACCATAATTATCCAACATTAACATACTCAAGGAATAGTGTTTCGTTTACATATGTACAATAAAAACATTGTAACAGGATGTGAGGAGAAAGGTTCCCATGCATGGGATCAGATAAGCATGAAAGCGGATATGACTAACAACACTTGAGAAAACATTTGAGAAATAATCTAAGGAATGCAATTTAGGTAAATGATTCATTATTGTTAACATCCGGTTACAAAATCAAAGGAAGAAATTTTTTTATTTATTTATTAGTTTGAGATTTGTTGAGTTTCGAGAAATGGAAATTCGCGACAGGCATTAAGATTTTTAAGATACATATCAAAAGGAAAATTTGCATAGTTAAAGGAAGTACCAGAGAGGCAAGAATTAATAGCACACGAATTGACAGAGACCACAAAAGCCCTGATTACACTAGCTCAATCAGAAGGTATCAATGAAGAAATAAAAGAATGGGCTCTTTACTATAACGACACACATTCATTTTGGAGACGCCGTAGCCGTCTGGACAATACCACTACGGGAATATACGAAGATAGTTCAAATCTCATATATCTTCCAAGGCATAATCAAATAACTAAGCTTCTTATACAACACCAACATGAAGATCTATGCCATGCAGGAATCGCTCATACATTATCAGAATTGAGAAGAAACTTCTGGATACCTAAAGGCAGAACTGAAGTAAAAAGCGTATTGAATAAGTGCATGGCATGTAAAAGATGGAGAGCAAGACCATTCAAACTACTGTAATGCCGAATGTACCAGAAACTCGAATCAAAAGTACTCGGACGTTTGAACATGTTGGACTGGATTACTTAGGACCTCTTTCTATAAAGAGTGAAAGCGTAGCTTTGTTCACATGCTTCACAACTAGAGCTATACACCTCGAAATGGTAGATGATTTGACAGCTGAAAGAAGATTCAGTGCACGACGAGGCTATCCTAAACTTATACTTAGCGACAATGCAAACCAGTTCCAATTAGTTTTCAAGACCATTATGAAATACACCACCAAAATAAAAACCTTCCTAACAATGAGGGGTATTATTTGGAAGAGTATAACTCCAAAAGCTCCATGGAGTGGTGGAGTCTATGAACGATTGATTGGCCTAACAAAAACAGCAATGAGATCTATTGGTAGAAAACTACTGTGGCAGAAGGAATTGATCACATTAATGGCAGAAATAGAAGGTATACTGAACACCTGACCCCTAACATACGTAAGTTTCGATGATTATGTTGTCATACGACCAATTGATTTTATTTCACCAAATGCCTCTCTAGTAACTCAAATTTTTAGTGAAGAAGATCAAGAGGAGCACACTCTTTATAGAATGAGTACTTAAGAGAAATTAATTAAATATTGGTCACATACAAATAAGG